ATGCAGAGGGTTTGGGAGACTTGCAAAGTACTCCTGAGGGCTGAGGAGGGCAAAAACAAACAAAAAACAGGGGGGGGGGGTTGCTCATTTTTGCCCTCCCAGCCCCCAGGAGCACTTTAAGAGCCTCCCAAACCTCTGCATGCCCCCCATTTATTTTTGCAAAAAATGAGGGCTGCAGAGGGTTTGGGAGGCCTGCAGAGTGCAAAAACCTTTAAAAAAAATTTACCTCTTCAAAATCATGGTGCGTCTTATACTCATGTGTGTGTTATAGTCTGAAAAATATGGTAGCAAAAATGTGACGAATTAAAAAAAATGCTTGTAGAATAATAGTGGACAAGCATGACTAAGTGCTTGATGTATGTTGCATGCTGGCAAAACCATGTGTTATTTTCAACATTCCAGTCATGTGCATGTCTTGCATGAATTAACAGCATTGATGTTGTCTGCTCCAATTTTAGTCAATGGCATTGCCTCTGCCTTCCATGTGTTTGCTGATAAACCAGCTCAAACTACTATAGCATCTACAGCAATACCACTTCGTGAATCCAATCCCTGGGCTCAGTCCCCTGCTGCTCCAGCTGTTGCTAAAACTGGAGCTGGAGCTTCTCCTTCTGGTAAGACTGGGCACTGATCTTGGCATGTTGCTTTTAGAAGCTTAACATTTGTGATGCTGGCTTTGAAAGTCTTTGATCTGATCTAACAAAATGGCTCTTAAGGATTTTTCCTTAATGTCCGTAAGTACAGTTAAGGGAAAGTAGAAGAAATGGACATTTAGATGTTGTAATTTTTTTAATGTGGAAGTAAAATTAGTAGGTGGATGGGAAAATAGAACAAACAAACAAACAACATGTTAAAGCTTACTAGAAGAAAAGGCTGTTTCAATAACCAGTAACTTTAATGTAAAAAAAATGGCTCTAACACAAAATCAGTGATTTAGTGTTATAAAATAGTACTTGGAGTAATTAACATTCTAATATAAATATATAAGATTTCTAGTAATTTAGAAAACTATTTGAGAATCCAACTCTAAAGTAGATTTCTAAGGTGTAAATTAAAGTGATATATGTTTCTAAAAGCCGTACAGTTTCCTGGAAGAGTAGTATATTTCATGTATTTTTATTCATTTAAGCAAAAAGTACATAACACTACATATTTATCAAATTCCCACAGAATTTAATTAATGATCCAGTCCCTGCATATTGATCTCATAATTTCTGTCTTTTCACTTGAGGCCTTGTATCCAAACAATTATGCACATTTCTGAGTGCCTGGAATTTCTGACTGAGGGTATAGTTTATCTGTCATTGTAGATCAGTTGACTTGGCTAACAGTCCTCCTTTAGAACATTAGAATGAGAAGCTGGACATTGAAATTGAAAAGATAGGAGCAAGCCCATAACTTGTTTAATTAAATGCCCAGTTCTAGTCTCAGTTTTAAAATCTTTGTCAACGTAACTGGAACTCCATATATACACTAGTTAAAGTATGTTAATCATTGTTATGGATGCTTTACTACTGACTGGCAATAGGAAAGCAGCTATTCTACACCCCGATGGTGGTTAAAAGCTACTTTGATTCCTCATCAAATTGTTCTGAAGAAGGGGAAGACAGTATCTTGCTGAGGTTATATCCTGTTTTTAATTTCTTTTCGCAGGTGCTGACTGGAGTGCCGACTCGGGAGAGGCCTCACCGAATCTGTTTCAGGCAAGCCACAGGCGCACTCCCTCAGAGGCAGACCGTTGGTTGGAAGAAGTATCTAAAACTGTCCGGTCACAGCAGCCTCAGGTGCAGCCCCAGCCTCCAGCTCCCCAGCCGCTCCTCCAGCCTCCAGCGGTGGTTTCTCAGGCAGCACCAGCTTTTCCAGTCAGCACCTTCATTGCACCTCCACCAGTGCCTATTGGGGTGGTGCAGCCCATGCAGCCTACGTTTATCCAGGCTCAGCCCTACGCAGTCGCAAATGGAATGCCCTATTCAGCTCCCAGTGTGACCATGATTGGAATCACCCCATCCCAGATGGTAGCCAATGTCTTCGGCACTGCAGGTCACAGCCAAGTGTCCCACGCTCATCAGTCACCTAGTCTTATAAAGCAGCAGACATTTCCTCAGTATGAAACTAATAGCGCTACTGCCAGCCCTTTCTTTAAACCCCCGGCCCAGCAGCTCAATGGCTCTGCTGCTTTCAATGGTGCGGACCCAGCCAAGTGGCCCACAGAGGACAAGCATGTGCTTCTTCCCGGAGCTGGCCAGCAGGTGGATCCATTTGAAGCACAGTGGGCAGCCCTGGAAAGTAAATCGAAACAACGTACTAATCCCTCTCCGACTAACCCTTTCTCCAGCGAATTACAGAAGACATTTGAAATAGAACTTTAAGCAGTCCTGTGGCTTGTACTTCATCTCTGTGTATGTGTGTGTTGGCATTGGATGTAAGAGTATACCGGGGGCAGCATTTTTTAATCGCTCATGTCCCTCTCTTTGGAATTAGGTTGGGGCTAGAGAGAGGGGACACTCATGGAAAGAGGCTCCTAAATCCAGCCTTTGGGGGTATAATCCAGGAAACATACCCCTTGCCACCTGTTCGGGAATTTGAATGGCAAAAGGAATCTGAAAAGGGCTGAAGAAGGGAGTTGAACCTGAAGCCTTTTTTCCACAGAAACTTCAGGAAACCTCACAAGCTGGAAAGCAAATGACTCACCACTATCTTAAGAATGTGTCTACCTTCCTGTGAATGGCCCATTCCCTTGGGGCGAAAACAGAGGTTAGGGAATTGTGGCATAGTAAGAAATGGGCTGGTGGAGAAAGCCTGCAAGCTGCTCAGAATATGTTATCAGTGGGAAAAGAATGAGCTTCCATTTCAAGTAATTATATATATAGAATAAAGCCAAAATCTTTATTTTTATGCATTTTAGATTATTTTAAATAGTTCTAGTTATTAAAAGTTGAATGAGTTGTAAGTAATCTTGCCAAAGTTATAAAAGGGGGTTGGATGTAAAATTGTACATAAGATTGATTTATCACTGATTCTTACAGTCAGTAATATGGGAATAGGGTAGGGAGCGGAGTTCCCAGCTTGTCCCTCTCTGTATCATTGTAAGTAGCATATTGCAACTACAATCATGAATCATGACCAATTTTTTTAAAAAAAAATCATTGTAGAGTAGTGTAAGAACAATATTGTCTTGGTTTGAGAACAATTGGTAAATTTTATCTTTTTTTTAAGCAATCAAACTAGATATTAAAGTTCATATAGGTTCTTTCATGTACTGCTGCAGTTTATTTGTCTTACATCTCTTTTAACACTACTGTGACAACTGTAATTATATTTACAATCAGGTCTACTTATGAACCCATTTTAGGTGCATTAAATAGAGTTTAGATTTTTTTTAAAAATGCTTTTCCCATTGTTATATATGAAAGCTTATAACTAGACTGCAGCTATTCCATTTCTTTCCTCTGGCAAATCATGAAGTCCATCTCATTTTTAATTTTACTCTTAAAACTTGGCCTTACAAGCAAATGTAAGTTATATATTTGTACTGATGATTTATAATCTGCTTTAACAGAAATAAATGTTGGTAGTAGATTATGTGTCTTTCTCAACAGGTTTCCTTGTTGTTTTCCTGCAACCAGTTTGATCTCCATTTCATTTGGTGTATAAATCACCAAATTTTAAATGTTTGGTCTACTAATAACAGGGCAAGATATATACTCCCATTTGTATCTATTGCTTAAAGCAGGAATTGCAACTTCTGGAATTTCAGCTTGCTTTTATTTTGAAATTTGTATTATATTTCCTATTTCCCCAGAAGAATGTGGTTCCTACAAATTGCCACATTTCCCATTAAGGGATTATCAGTGTATTATTCAGAAATAGCCCTGAAGAACTTTGTATTTGTTCTAGAGCATTGTTCATTATCTAGAGACATAAACTGGTTTTGCTCAGTTTTAGTGTGTCTTAGTACATAATGGAACTTAATGGTTATTGCTGTTTAAAGTTACAGTACTTAAGTGGTTTGTTTCAGTACAAAGCATGCTTACTCTAAAACAAAGCTACCTCAAATGTAAGTGCATGTATGGTGGATGTATGAATTTGGACTATGCCATACTGCACTTGAGTAAAAATCCCTTTCACTCTTTTTGTCCTTGGTCTATTCATACTTTTTGCAAATGTAAATGCATGGAATTCTCATAAAGCTGCCACGTAGACAATAATTGAATATTGTCAATGAAACATTTGTGTAGAGCCTAAATAAATTCCTATTGGGATCAGAGGCAAGAATTTCCATAACCCAGTAATTTTTGTACAGTGAATGGACAGTTACTAACTTACTACATACAGGTCCAAATACTTCTAAGGCCTTCTGTTGTAGAAAAACTTTTATAAAACCAGGGTTTATTTTGGGTCTAGGGAAAATGGCTTCTTGGAATATGCATTCCTTGTGGGGTTGTTGTGTGGAATGAACAAATAATGATCAATGGTTTGTTCAATTTGTTATTAAAGAAGGCATAATTCTATCCAATTTTATCAACAGACATCAAAAGTGCTTCTCTCATATATGCATTCAACATTAATTTAGCAGCAATAACAAGTACAGTAAAAGCTGCTTTGCTATTTTACCATTTCTCTTTAATATTATTAAATAACAATATTTCCCGTCATGGGAAAAGATACCAATGTGATCCAGATTTTGAAAAATGGTTTGGGAAGTGATGAACTGCAGTAGATATAAAAAATTCTGTTAAAATGCCCATCTTTTGAGATATAAAAAATAAGATAAACCACTTCAGAATTTTTTCCACCTTTAATTTAGCATATGACCTGTACAATTCAATATAAAGACAAACTGAAATCTTTTAGAGGGGGAAAATAACAATAAAAATACAATAACTTGGTTGCATAAATGTGTAAACCCCTTAATACTTGAAGCACCTTTTGACTTTTGACAGCATTCAGTGTTTTGGGACAGGAGCCCATTGGCATAGCACATCTTGCGTTGGCAATCTTTGCCCACTCTTCCTTGCAAAGTGTTCCCAATCTTTCAGATTGTGAGGCCATTTCCTGTACACAGCCCTCTTCAGGCCACCCCTCAGGTCTTCAATTGGATACAGGTCCGGGCTATGGCTGGGCTGTTCCAAAACTTTGATCGTCTTCTGATTAAGCTATTTTTATGTTGTTATGGAGATATGCTTTGGGTCATTTCCATACTGAAAGGTGAAATTCCTCTTCAGCATTTTAGCAGAGGCCTGCAGGGTTTGTGCCAAAATTGACTGATACTTGGAATTGATCATAATTCCCTCCACCTTGACTAAAGTCTCAGTTCCTGTGAAGAAAAGCCATCCCAAAGCATAATACTGCCACCACTATGCTTCACTGTATGGTGTATATTTGATGATGCACATTGTTGTTTTTCCACCAAACATATCTTTTTGGCTTGTGGCCAAAATTTCCAGTCTTGGTCTCATCAGACCATTAACACAATTTCCTACATGCCTTTGTCACATTTGATGTAAGCTTTTGCAAAATGTAGCCGGGCTTGGATGTTTTCCTTTCTAAGAAAAGGCATCCATCTTGCCACCTTACCCCATGCCCCAGACATGAAGAATACAGGAGATTGTTGTTACATGTAATACACAACCAGTTTTAGCCAGAAATTCCTGCAGCTTCTTTACTGTTGCTGGAGGCTGTTGCTTAGCAGCCTCTCAGACTAGTTTTTTTCTTGCTTTTTCATCAGTTTTAGAAGGACAGCCAGCCCTTGGTAACATCATTGTTGTGCCATATTTTCTCCAGTTGTTGATGACAGTCTTCACTGTGTTCCATGGTATATCCACACACCTTGGAAATTTTTTTGCACCCTTCTCCTGATATCTTTCAACAATGAGATCCCCTTGATGCTTTGTAAGCTCTTTGCAATCCATGGCTTTTGCTATTAAGAGGCAACTGAGTAAATGTCAGAAAAATCCTATTAGAACAGCTGAACTTTATATGGGCTTAATCAGAGACACTCTAATTGATGGGAGGTGTTTATTAACTACAATTTACCATTAGTCTGAATGTGATTGGTTAATTCTGAATATGGGCACAGCCCTACTTATAAGAGGCTGTGCACATTTGTGCAACTATGTTATTGTATGTTTTTTAATTATTATTTTTCACCCTAAAAGATTTCAGCTTGGTTTTTCCATTGAATTGTATGACTTATATGTTATATTAAAGATGGGAAAAAAATCTGAAGTGATTTATCTTGGTCTGACCTCTTTTACATATCAGATATCTGGCATTTTAACAGGGATGTGCAGACTTTTTATAGGCACTACACCTGATCTTTAATTTCCTTTAACTTCTGCTCCAAGAAAAATAATTGAAAATACCATTTAAATGCATAGAGGAATGGACCTTGCTGTAAACTAATCAGCATGGCTTCTGCAAAAGCAATCTTGCCTCACTAATTTTTTTGATGAGATTGCCCATGCAGCTGCCATGGAGTTTTTTTAGTTGGATTTGCAACTGGAGAAAGATTGAAGGAAAAATAAACTGGTAATTTTCACACTGCTGAGAGAGGTATATAGTGGGATCCTTAGGAATCATCTTGTGACCGATTCTTTTTAACTGATCTGGAGTGTTAATTACATGTACTTGTTGTGAGACAAGAACGTTGTGTGCTGTTCTGGTCACTATACTAGAAGCATGATATTGTATAATTTAAAAACATACAGAAAACACAGAAAGACCACAATAATTGTGGCTGTTTTGCTTGAATGAAAGCAAGATTTAGTAAAGATATATAATGTAATTCATGGTGTGGATAATGTAGAGAAACGTTTTCCCTTGCTTCAGATCATTCCATTCATATAAAATATAGGGAGACTCAGAACTTTTTCACACAGCACATACACTGTGCGCAATTATTAGGTAAGTGAGTATTTTGATCATATCATTTTTATGCATATTTTCTACCTCCAAGCTGTATAAACTTGAGTGCTTACTAGATATAAGCATATCAGGTGATGCGTATTTGCATGATGAGGCAGATGGTGGGCTAAGGCAGTGGTCTCCAACCTTGGCCACTTTAAGACTTGTGGACTTCAACTCCCAGAATTCCTCAGCTGGCTTAGACCACTGGCCTAAGGAGATCAGCACCCTATATCAAGGTGTGCATAATTACTAGGGAGCTTCTTTTCCTCAGGCGAAATGGGCCAAAAAAGAGATTTAACTGACTCTGAAAAGTCAAAAATTGTAAAAAGTCTTTCAGAGGGTTGCAGCTCTCTTGAAATTGCTAAGATATTGGGGTGAGATTACATAACCATCAAAAGTTTTGTTGCAAATAGTCAACAGGGTCACAAGAAACGTGCTGAGAAAAAAAAAGATTAACTGCCAAAGATTTGAGAGGAATCAAACATGAAGCTACCAGGAACCCATTGTCTTCTAGTGCTGTCATTTTCCAGAAATGCAACCTACCTGGAGTGCCCAAAAGTATAAGATCTTCAGTGCTCAGTGACATGGCCAAGGTAAGGAAGGCTGAAACCTGACCACCATTGAACAAGACACATAACTTGAAACAGCAAGACTGGGCCAAGAAATATCTGAAGACAGATTTTTCAAAGGTTTTATGGACTGATGAGATGAGAGCAACTCTCGGTGGACCAGATGGATAGGCCTGTGGTTGGATCAGCAACAGGCACAGAATTCTACTTGCTCTGTCTCATACACCAGCAAGGTAGAGGTGGGATATTGGTATGGGCTGGCATTATTAAAGATGAGCTACTTGGACCTTTTCAGGTTAAAGATGGACCCAAACCTACTGCAAGTTTTTAGGAGGCACTTTCTTCAAGTAGTGGTACAGGAAAAAGTCTGCATATTTCAAGACCATGATTTTATGCAGGACATAACTCCATTGCATGCATCAAAATACTCCACTGCCAGTAAAGGCCTTAAAGATGAAAGAATAATGACATAGCCCCCTTCTTCACCTGACCTAAACCCTATTGAGAACTTGTGGGCCCTTCTTAAATGGGAGATTTACAGTAAAGGAAAACAGTTCACCTCTGAACAGTGTTTGGGAGTCTGTGGTTGCACAAAAAGTTGGCCGTCATCGGATCAAGAAACTGACAGATTCTATGAATGGAAGGCTTATGACTGTTATTGAAAATAAGGGTGGCTATATTGGTCACTGATTTTTTGTTTTGAAATGTCATTTCAAATGTTATGAGTAAATTTTGAGTTGTTTATTATTCTCACTTGAGCAGATGCGGTTGGCATGAGTGAGGTAGGCAAATTTTCATTTTCTGTTTAGTCGTATAATAATTCTGCATACTAATAGTTGCCCAATAATTGTGCACATAGTCTCCCAGGAAAGCCAAAGCCTCACTTTTACTTTCTTAAATATTCAGGTTTGATATTTATTAACATTTTGGATTGACTGAGAGCACGATAGTTTTTCCAATAATAAAATCAATCCTCCCAAATACAACTTGACCTAGTAATTGTGCACACTGGGTAGTTAAACTGGATTTTATTGTCAGCAGCTGAGGTAAAAGTAAATAGAATGGTTTAAAAGGGGGTTGACCTGTTCATGGAAGATAAGACTTTTAGTTATTGATATTATCTGTTGATGACCTTGATCATAAATATGCAGTATGTCTTAAAGCCCGTTCTCTTAGAAGCAACAGGGAAATTAGATGAGGCCCAATTTATCTAATGAATTTCCATGGCTAAGGGTGAACATGGACCTGTATTTCCTGGTTCTAATCAAATATCCTACTCACCATCATACCAAGTTTCACCATTTAACTTTCTTAGATATCAACATTAAAAGCACCAAAACATACTTGCTTTGCTTCTCAAATTTTCTATTCTGAAAAACTAGCCCACAAGATGGTCAAGTGCCTTTTTAACAGAATAACAGAATTGGAAGGGGCCTTGGAGGTCTCCTAGTTGAGCCCCTTGCTCAGGCAGGAAACCCTATACCATTTCAGACAAATGGTTGTCCAAATCTCTTCTTAAAAACTTCCAGTGTTGGAGCATTCACAGCTTCTGGATGCAAGTTGTTCCACTGATCAATTGTTCCCTCAGGAAATTTCTCCTTAGTTCTAGGTTGCTTCTCTCCTTGATTTTAAGTTGGTTGCCGGTTGCAAGGTTACCTTTTCAATCCATTAAAGGGGAGATAGAGTCAGTGGGTTAATGTTTTTGATGAATGCACTCCTTCACGNTGGACTAGAAGACCTCCAAGGTCCCTTCCAACTCTGTTATTCTGTTCTGATTCTCTTCAGAACTTCTATTTTTATCATTTGATATGTCACTACAAGATGCCACTTTGTTGCTGGTTTTATGACCTCCAAGTTGTAATATTATATTAGAAACTGATAGGTTTCTTCTAAATATAATCAGAATTTCTAGATAACATCACATATTACCAAATATGGGTTTGATAACTCTATTCAAAGTTTATTGACTGCTGTTCATTACCTTTGAACTATAAGGAGTCCACTTAGTCAAAAACATTTTGACTTTGGTCAGCATATCTTGATTAATATATATTTGCAGTGCTTGATGAATTAAAGGCCCAGCTTTTGCAAGTGAAAGTTGTGCAACTTTGATAATTATTCTGATATTTAATATGGATGTAAATACTCTGAGAAACTGACATAAAATCAGAATAATTGTAACCTTCATGTTCATTCCCCAAAATTTTCTTTGTTCTTAACTTTTCCTCTTAGGGTTTTCAGAGGACATAATGTAGTTTTTCCTAATCATGCAGGGGGGAAAGATCAAAGGACGACATTGTGTAAAAGCAGGAAGGTATCTTTGTATTATGCTGGGCCATATCTGTGCAAACTTCTTTTTTCTGCTTTCAGTTCCTGAGTCTGAAGGAGAAGTCGATAGCATTAGCTCATTGTGCTCCCAGATTACAAACACCTTTAGCATGCCGACTGAGGATCCTTTCTCCTCTGCCCCAATGACAAAGCCAGTAACCGTGGTTGCGCCACAGTCGCCAGCTTTTCAAGGTGTGTGGCCTCTAAACTTGGATGCATGTGATACTCTTTATATGTGCAAATGTTGTTTTCCTTTTGTGTGCTGGCAATGTAATGTCTTAAAACCATCTTGCAGCTTTTTTGTTTGCATCTGGAATCATTCTGTTTTAACTATTATTTGCTCGTAAGCTACTTGTCTGTGAAATTCCTAGAAAGTCAAGGACATATTGAGAACAGTCAGTTACATGCTAATAATAGCACAAAAAAAATTAAAAGAGAAGGCCACATCTTTCAGATGTTACAGAAAAAACGTTACTATGTAAGAAATTATATGCAATTACCCATTTTCCAGTCTCCTGGATCTTAAAAAAACCCAGATGGATAAATGTAAAATAAATGTACACCCAGTAAATTTGCTACCTGTTGCTTATTTTAAAGAACGCAAAGGCTCTAAAGTTGAAGTGATGTTCCCAGCTTTGATGTTAGGTAACAATCTTTATGGTTTGCTTTGATATCTTATAAATGGGATGAAACTTGCGGTCAAATCTTTGAGGCAGTAACTATCTCACTGCTTGTTTTAAATAATGAAAGGCAACAGCTGATAGTGGAAGTAATTTTCTTTTGCCAGAATACCGATAAGGCAGAATGTTTCAACCCACCACTTTGCCCTTCTAAACTTGCTCTGAGAGCAAGGAATAAAGTCAGAACTTAGAAAAATCCACATAACATCCTTTAAAATATTAGTAAATATCCAAGCTATCTTCCAAATGAATTTCCATATTTTTGAGTATAAGATGTATCTTTTTCCCACAAAAAAACTGGGTGCATCTTATACACTGAATACAGCATTTATTGGCCTACCGAAACCCCACCCTTTTGCAAAAATGGGCATGCAGAGGGTTTGGGAGNCTTCTTAAAAACTTCCAGTGTTGGAGCATTCACAGCTTCTGGATGCAAGTTGTTCCACTGATCAATTGTTCCCTCAGGAAATTTCTCCTTAGTTCTAGGTTGCTTCTCTCCTTGATTTTAAGTTGGTTGCCGGTTGCAAGGTTACCTTTTCAATCCATTAAAGGGGAGATAGAGTCAGTGGGTTAATGTTTTTGATGAATGCACTCCTTCACGAAAACTTATCCTTATGATTATAAATGACAGTTGGGGAAATTATTTATGGTTGGGGGAATACCATGTGCTTTTTCTCTGTTTTTTTATAAGATGTACCTTCCATGAAAAAATCAATTCTGAATGTAAGAAAATACAAATGTGTTTTGTTCTCTCAGTTTGTATGCTACAGTTAAATTATATTAACACTGAATTAATTTGCATCTTTATTGAAGAAGCTGAAAAACTTGTTACCTAGTTTATATGGTACTCCACAGTTCTCAGCAGCAGGTAATATGCAGAAGATTTCCTTGTTCCCATTACTAAACATTCTGCATAATACGCTGTAAATACTGGTTTGTTCATTTTTTACAGGCGCAATTGATACAGTATGTTTCTCATTTTCAGTGAAGATAGTCCCATTGTACAGTCAGATAATTAAAAAATAGATTTGCTTGGGGGGATTTGTTTTTCATTATCTGGTTATAGCTATTCAGGTACAGTATCTGAAACGTGTAATGGAGTAGCCCAATTATAAAATCATATTTGCCCTCAGATATCAGAACATTCATGTATTCTGATTGGTGTATCTTAGTATAAACCTCATAGATATGGCAGATTCTCATATTTGTTTTTCCAGCAAGCAAACTACAAAAGTGGGATTGTATTACAGATGTACTTTGTTTCTAAAAGAAATGAGATCTTGAGCTACCTAAAATCTGGGAAGGTTAATTGAGTCCATAATAGTGGATCAAAAGCTATAGCAGGAATCATGTGAGGAAAAAACTGCAGATGTGCCAGCAGTGTTGGTTTTTCCTGTCTTTTACACTTAAAGGAAATTATAATACCTTACAGTATTCACAGACATTGAGACACTTAAAGGTTGTGAATAATTAGTTAACACAAAGAGGTTTGGGATGTCTCTAGTCTTGCTCTGTAGAATGTGTTTATAGTCGGCCATTGAGAATGCATAGATACTGCAGTTTGAACTTCTACAGTGCCAATGGTCATCCTTGTATTAGGTAATCTAGCACATGGGATGGGATAATGAAAGCAGTAAAGCATACCCTTCCGCAATTCTGAGACATCACCAATTAATTCTGTCGTGATGCTGTGTACACTAGTGGGGCAGGCTGCGTAGTGCTTTGGAACATACACGAGTGCAAATTCAGTACTTGTCTATGACTCATTAATGCAGTGGTATCTCTTTGGGGATTGCGGTCGTGAGATTCTAGAAACAAACACCACTTCTCAAATTGCACAGCCCTCTGGTATTTGTTTATGCAGAAGTGATACAACAGACTTTGTTTCCTTTTTCAAAGGCCTTAATGCAATTGAATACATATTTAATTGTAAGAGAGGATCACTGTTTAATGAACTTATTTCAAGAAATACAGCCTTGCTGTTTTAAGAATATTTGAATACAAAACCCTGCACATTGCCATGCATTTTCCTCTTCAGATGCTTCCGAGTTCTATGCATTTCCAACAAATATTAAGTGATATGTGCTGCTGGTAGTTAACTCAGCAATGTTTTCTGTATCTGCTGAAAAAACAACCATTGTCTGCTTATAACTGTTTAAATTTGAACTGCAGGGACATTTAAAATAACTGCAGGAAACAAGTTTCTAGGTCAGTATGCTAAATTTCCACAAAAAAATGTGGTCAGCAGATTTTCTTGGTGGGTTCTGGCACTAATTTAGCTTTTATGTTTGATTTAAAATGTGTCTGCTAGCCTTGATTTATCTTGAAGCAACTTTCCCACTTACTTTTGATTCTTGTCTGTATTGTTAAGCTTTGCTAGTGGAACAACTCTCCGTTTCCTTAAATGAAAAGGTCAGCCAGCTGTTAGAGGATTTGGTGTTTCTCTTGCAAAACAAAATACAGCTTAGGAAGGTGGAGATACCACTTCTGCCAACTGTTCTCTCTGTTCTCACATTAGCTGTATTGACTACCCGTGTGTATGCTTGATAAAGAGATTGGAGATGAGTGCTTTTCTTCCTGAGCAGGATTGCAAGAGGGGTAGCAAGCCTGTGACTCAGCCATAGCGGCGAGAACAGCTGGCACAGCAGAAGCTGGAATAATACTCATTGTTGCAGAGCTGAGCCTGTAGAATCAGATCACAGTTAGCAAGGTGTGGCTGATCAACACATTCCCTGCTTGCGTCCACAGGGTGGGATGCTGGCACTAGAAGAGTTAAGGAAGGAAGGAAAGAAAGTCAGAAAGAACCAAACAAGGTGTTTTTTCATAATCAGTTGAGAGTTCACTTTTTGTTATTTACATTATGGCTATTTAACTGCATGCAGTGGAAAATATTCTCTATCTGCTGCAGCTCCAGCAAAAAATACTGTGAATGGAATCTACATCTTGGCAAACATTCAAAGTAGCAAATGGCAACATCAGCATTAACGCATTTTGAGAGAAAATTGATTGGTTTCTGCTGAGATATTCTCTAAATGGCAAACAGCTGTTTCAGGCTGAAAATAAATTCTCTGCACTATAACAGCAGTTACAGTTTAGCAATTCCTGAAGTTAAACTGGCATAGTTTAAAAGCCTTTGACCTTAAAATTGTCTTCCAAGTAATCTGAATGTAATAGAATTTATTTGTAAATAACAAGGACTGGATTGCCTCAATGATTTCAAGTTTCTGATTACATGCAAAAATACCGCTTTGGAGGAAAGCATGCAGAGGCAAGCTGCTGGATTTCAGCTGCCTTACCAGCAGTGGCAATTGAAGTGTCAGGTTTTAGGCACCAATTAATAATAATTTATTATATTTATATACTGCCCAACATCCAGTGACTCTCAATTCCAGACTCTCATAGCATCTCCAGCCTTGGCTGCGTTTGCCATATATAACTCAGAGACCCCACATTGATGAATAATTTAACCGATTTCATATAGATGACCACAGGAAAGGACCAAACCCTGCAATTTGGAGTAATTACAGGTTCAACTGCTTTCCCCTAACAATTACTAGCTGGTACTAATGGCTCAAGTGGAAATGGGGCCACTGCACAGCTGCGTCCCCAACCATTGCAGGCAATCCATAAAGATGCCATGGTTGATGGGATTGATGCCCATCAAGAAATTAATAGCATCTGGAAGCAACCATCACAGTTTTTTTTCCTTCATATGATGAGGCATGGATAGTGACTGAAAGATACCTAGAAAATCTGCTTCTTTGGCTCTGTAGCTCAGGGATGCCAAACTCGATTTCAATGAGGGCCTCTTCAGGGTTGTGTTTGACCTTGGTGCCCGGGGGTAGGGGCATGGTCAGGGTGGTATGGCCAGTTTGACATCATTCCTGTTGAGGGTCCCTGTGGTGGCCCGAGCATTCTGCCAACAAAAATGGACTCTCAAGCTCTGTTTTTGACTGCCACGGCCTGCAACCCTCTGGCAGTGAAAACAGGGATGGAGGGGGGGCACATGCGAGCTTCGTTTTCGCTGGCAGAGGGTTGCAGTGGGCCTTGGCAGCCGAAACAGGGCTTAGGAGCCCATTTTTGCTGGCAGAAGCACTGCAGGCCTTTGCTTCTTTCTAGGGCAGCCACGTGAGCCAGATCTAAGTACTCCATGGGCCAGATCCAGCCACGGGGCCTTGAGTTTTGACACTCCTGCTGTAGCTGATCCCCCATCATCTTTTCAAACATATTCCCTAAAAAGGGAAGGTTGGGGACAAGACAGAAGTTGTCCAATATGGATGTATTGAAATATGATCTCTTCAGGAGAGCATACACTACAGCTTCTTTGAAGGCAGGTGCCATCTCGCCTTCACACAGAGACAGTGACCACTTCCAGATGCAAATACTTCTCTTTCAACTCTGCCTTCCATATACATATGCTTTCATTAAAGATATCAGATATACTATGTGGTTCTAAAATTTAAAAAAAAAGGCTCAGAAGTATGCTTCATGTACAGGATCAGCCAGGTGTGTTTCTACAGAAGGTCTACAACACAAAACATTTCCAGTCCTCGAAGGAAGCTAAGCACATGCCACATATTTAAGGTTGCAGCTGCTGTGAAATCCAATACTGGAGATTAGAAGAAAATTTAAAAACAACTGTGCACACCCACCTTCTGGCCGCTTTTTGATGACTTTAACATCTGTACTGGCACTGACTGAATGATTGCCACTGTAGGCATTGCACGTATAGGAGCCCTCATCACCAAGCTGAACATTGTTTAGAAACAAGCTTCCATCTTGAGACACACGGATACGATGACCATCTGATCTTACTGGAACCCCATTTCTATGCAGAAGTAAATAATTAGCGGTGTTGCAGTTGCTGTACTCTGTCCCCAACTCCCAGTTACAAGGAAATAAAGGGAGGGTTAGTATTCAGAGACTCTTCCAAGGAACACACAAATAAACAGGGTTATTTCAAATGAGTTTGAAAAACTAAATCCGAATTCATCTTCCAAGTAGATGGAAGATGATAATTCCATCTACTTGGAATTGATTACAGCTTGATAATTTCTTGCATGTTTTAGTAGTACTAGAGAGATAAGCAAATGCAGCTGATTTTTTTCTTACCTTGACCATCTTATGTTTACATTGTTTCCCATCACATCACAATGAAGATGAGCGTTCTCCCCTTCAGACACGGAAAGCCTGGGCAGCAGGTCAATAATTCTCAAGTCTCCTAAGCATGAAAAGAGTGTCATCAATTCCAGGAAGATATTGCCTGAGGTCATCAAATTATATTCTGAAAATGCAGCTCTTGATTAAACAGCCCTGCTCATCATGTGCAGTTCGTCTTTCTAGCTGAAAGATTATCTACGTGGGAGAAAAATCTCGACATGATATGCACAATAGAATTCAACACAGAGAAACACTCTGTAACCAATCAGCTACACTTAAGTTCTTCTCTATGGCTGTCCTACACTGATAAAAGTAGGAACTGTTTTCATAGCAGTAACTATACCTCCCTCCTACATTTATTCTCTCTCGCACACAAAAAAGTCACTGCAGCAGCATTTTCCAGAGGTCCCCTTTCTTATTTCTAGAACAATATTTCCACTAGGATCCTAAACCAATTTGAATTATCTTAACCGGCGCCACCAATGTAAAAAAATGTATTGAATAATTTCTATCTTTCTTGAACCTGGCAAAATTTATGTGAAACCCTAAATATCTCCCTCGGATTATTTGATGGTATCATTGATGAAAGTAAACTGATCTCATACCTAAAGGGAGTTGTGAAGCCACAGTATAGAGCAGGGGTGTCAAACTCAAGGCCCAGGGACCAGATCCGGCCCACAGGTTGCTTAGATCTGGCCCACTGGACCACTCTGGAAACAGCAAAGACCTGGCCTGTGTTACCTCTACCAATGAAAAAGGAGCTCATGAGGGCTGCGCGCTCCGTTTATGCTGGCAGAGGGTTGCAGAAAGCTGTTGCAGCTGAAAATGGAGTTTGGGAGCCCATTTTCACTGGCAGAGCACTCGGGCCACCCCAGGTTCCCCTGACACGAATGATGCCAAGCTGACCACGCCTGCCCTGGCCATGTTCCCCCAGCCCCCTGAGGTCAAACACGACCCTGAGACGGCCCTCAGTGAAATCGAGTTTGACACCCCTGGTGTAGAGATAGTTCTTAAGCACAACATTCAACTTTTACTAAAAAAAATTCTTGCCATCAGGTTTTAATTGCTGGAAATATGCTGAGAAAGTTCACTCTCCAGACTGGATATATTAATCAGCAACTAAAGCTTAATTTAACAACAGTAGCAAAAAAAAAAAAAAAAGGGACCACATTTTTCTCCAGCAGCAATTTCATTACTTATATTTGGGTAACATTGAAGTAAAACTTCCCCTCCCCCCAATAACCACTACCTCTAAGTCTAATTTGAACATTTTTCTGATCTTGGTCCCGGCCATTAGAAGCAATGCAGGTAAAGAAGCCAGCATCTTCTGCTGCCAGATGACTGATTAGCAGGGCACCATCAGGTTGCTGCTTATGCCTAGAAATTAAAATTGCCAAGAATTTTAGAAGAAGAAGAAGAAATACATTTATTCACAGAGTATTCTCCTTTTTGTGAGAAACTAATGGCTCAAAATGTATAGTATTCTGAATATAAGCTATGAGCTCCTAAGGTTCAATGGGATCAGGTGTCATCAGTCCTGCTTAATTGCTGCAAGCTAATTAATAGTAGCTGGGTTACATTGCACTAAACCATGGTTTGCTGAGGAAACCACAGTTGGCTGGGTTCTTAAGGAAATACAAGCTGTAAAGGTATTTGGTTTTGCATCCTGTGTAAATCAGTCCACTCGTAGAGTTAATCTTTTTGAGCAGCTGGTAATATGTTGGTGGTTTCACTTAAAATATGCAGGAGTCAAAAATACAAAAAGCATTGAGGTGAGTATAATTACATTGCAAGGTACCCATCCAGGCTGTAAGCAGTTTAAGTACAATCAATGTCCAGGTGGTCAAATGACGGTCTTTGCCAGATCACCTCAGGCCACAAATATTGAATCATTAAAATGAATGAGTTTCTACGTAGATAGGATGAAGCAGGAATGTATTATAGAGAGAAAGCCTCTGGGAGAATTAGGACATCCCTTTGATAGCCTGTCTTCCGGTTCTTCTAACTGATGTACATGGGAGGGGGGTCTCCCTATTTTATCCGCCCAGTAAGAACTTAATGAGAGAGGATGAACTAAGGATTAGTGGCTGGCCCAAAGTCAATTCAGAATGCTGTGATTGAGAGAAGATTTGAAACTGCCTAGTCCTAGATGCTGATCATCACATTATGCTGTGTTCCATCCATCCTAATCATGCTTGGGAAAGCTCATTGAAAATAAAGGAGGGACAAGCTGTCTGTTCGGGTTTTCCCAGATTCATTTTGTAAACATGGTGCATTTCAGGCCATCTTACTCAGCCTTCTTTAGCTGGAGCTACTTCATCTGTGTGAATATATTCTACTAAACCTAGGGCAGTAAAGGGTATGAAAAAGGGATGATTGATTGGGTTATAAATGCTTGTTCGGTGATTGTTCAAACATACTGTATGGTGATGCTGAACAAGAGGGAGTTTCAACTCCCATAGCATCCCCATGTGGTCATGTTGGAGCTCGGTTCTGCCCAATTTGCAATTACAATGTCACAGTGACTTGTGGTCACAATTTCCAACATTCTCAGCCCACTTTCCACAAGTAAAGCACTAGGGAAGCTGGCAGGAAGTTGGAAATTATTTTTGCTGCTTTTTTGCCTACCTGTGATGCTTAGCAGCTGCCTGTGGCATTCTTCTGGGGCACCTGCACATCTACCTATGCTTGGTAGAATTCATCCATGGCACCTCCTATGGCACTGGCCAACAGCACCCACCCTGACCCTCCTATACCACCCTGCCCCACGCTCCACATGCATAATGCATGTCCCCCCCCAACTTGTGGCAGAAAACACCAGCTTGATTGTGTAGGACTTCTGCCTCTTCCCACTTCCCACTTAATGACCCCCATGGTCCTAGGGCTACAACGAACACTGGGACTACAAGGATTGCCATCACTAAACAATGTTCTCACATGATATGGCACTTTATGTCCACATTGCTTAACTATAGAAATTCTGGTCCCAAATGCTGTGGTAACCCAAGGGCTACCTGTCACAAAATGGGCTCTATTTGCCCAACTCATTCAGTAACAAAAACAAGCCAAGGCTAAGGTTAACTATGTGAGTATGCTTTTTTTAAGCATGTTATATGAACTCAGATGCTGTACATTAAACAGTTACAAAGACTTCTAGCTCAAGAAAAAAAAAACCAGTTACCACAAAAGGTTATACAGAAATTTATATGGAAATGATGACCAGAAAAATGTAAGGAAGTAGGAGAAAGAAATGCAGGAAAATGTGAATAGGAAATTCTTAAAAAAGGCCTACTAAAATATTAAAGTATAGCTGTAGATTAATACAGAGAAGAAAGTGTCCTAAGGGGAAAAACAGAAAGGGAAAATTTATAGACAATTATCCCAAAGGTGCTTTTTCAGGAGGCAACTGGATTTTCTTGTTTTTTCTTTGAAGAAGTTTCTATGTTATGTTATGTTATGTTATGTTATGTTATGTTATGTTATGTTATGTTATGTTATGTTATGTTATGTTATGTTAT